TTTTTTTTTTTTTTACCTAGTTTAAAGTCTTTCCATTTTTAGTTGTTGTTCAGCTTTGTTCAGATGAACAATTGAAGAGGGCTTTGAGAAGCTTTGAATTTGGTGTTCTCCAGATCATGACTCCTTCATTTTTCAAGATCAGAATTCAGCTAAAGCAACAGTCTTTAGGTCCAATTGATCATAGCTGAGGCAGCTCCTAGCCCACATTGGCTTGATACAATAAGCAGGATTGCACTTTGGATGGGAGACCCCAAGGAAATTCCACGTTTGTAGGTTAGACAGGAAATAAAAATCGCAGACCTCAGTGACAAACCACTTCTATACTATTGCCAAGAAATCTACAGTACATGGATGTGTGCATGATATCATTAGGAGTTGGGGTCAATTCAAAAGAAACTTTATATCTATCTATCTATCTATCTATCTATCTATCTATCTATCTATCTATCTATCTATCTATCAAAATTGCAGCAAGTTACATTCATATATCACTAAAGTTCTTGGGTTTGGGGAACTATAAACCAAGGCTTCATTGTGCCCTAGATTCTGTTCCAGTCTTACCCACTCTTGTGTCTTCCTCAAGATGTATTAGAGGAGCTTACATGGCCAATCTTAGGCTGGGGGTTGGACTAGAAGACCTCCAAGGCATTTTCCAACCCTAGGATTCTATGATTCAGTGAGATTTTTCATATCTTGTGGCTGTCATAAGTAATTTCAGCTTAAGGGTAAACTATCATTGGAATAGCAAACTCAAAATTGGCTTGCTGATAGACTGGGGACAAGAGGAATGAAAGGTCACCTGTATAGTAGAAAGAAGATGTGGCCAAGGCATGTTTGCACTGTTCAGTCCTAATGGGGAAAGGCGATCTACCTTCTTGAATAATCTCTGCAGCAGGAGATATTTTTCCCTTTTTAAAAAATGCAGATTAAACAATAAAACTAGCCCACTGTAGCTTTAGCCTGGAGTCAATACAGAGTATCTTTTCAATAAACTTAAGTTGTGCAGTCGTAGGCAGGTAAACGCTTTAACATTCAATAGGTTCAGCCTTTTCCAGCATAGCGATGAAAATGGAGAATATTTCAGCTGCTGGATTTTGGAGGCTTTTCTGAAGGAATCATCTCTATGAGATATTGCTTGCTTCAACCTCTTGCTGTTTGCATCTGTGGGAGAAAAATCTGCAAGAAGGATCTGCTCCATCCCACTTGCAACTTCCAAGTTTTCTCTCCCTTCTCAAGATGAGGTTCATTTTGTCTCCTCAAGCAGGACACAAGAGTTCTTCAGTCTCCCAACACTTTATGATGAGTTTGCAAAGCCAGTTCAAACACGCATGGACTCTCCATGGGCAAGACCCTGAAACACAGGAAACAGTGTATTTATAATGAAGCAACAAGGAAATGCATAATTATAAATGTGATTGGTTACAAATTTATTATAAAAAGACAGTTTTAAAATAGACCCGTGGTGCTATGCTGCACCCACTAAATGTATCTGCTAAATGTTAAACCACAGCTTCAGCTAGGCCTAGCTGTCCTGACCAACTTCTTGAAGCCTAACTATAAATACAACATAGAAGCTATTCTTATATATCTACTTGCTGCTACTACTTGCTAAATATTTGCTGCTACATGCTAAAACGTTTATTAATATTCAAATGGATTAAATTCTTCCACACATCCCTTCAAGATTTAATGACTGTAGACATGTAGCTACTGCTTGAGCATTGGTGTTCATTTTTCTTTGATCGGACACACTGAGAAAAGGATTCATGTTTGGTTCCCACTGTGGAACCAAATATGTGGAAAATACCAGCATGGCTGAACAGTATGCAACAACAATTCAGCCAGGAACCTGAATCAAAAAGCCAGAGTTGGAGAGAACAACCCAGCCAACCATCTGTGCCTCCTCCTTAGATTTCTAGAGCCCTCTAATGGCCACAGCCCTGCAAAACAAAGTTTAATTTCTAAATCAGAGTCTGAATTCACATGCTATGTTAAGGAACAGCAAAGCTCATTTAGTTTTGACTTTGTGGTTTATTTAATGAAACCTAGCTTATTGTGTGGCATGAGTTCAGTCAGTGTGCGCCAGTGCCTAACTTGGCTTTTAGTCTGTCACTGGTCAGATTGAGTACAAGGATAAAACCATTTAGTTCTACTGGGTATTGTTCTTGACTGTTTGCACGGCACATGGTATCACAGTCTAGCCAACCAGATATTAGCCTTGGGTATCATGCAAATTCATGTACTCAGTTTACAGCTCAGTGTGTCATGTGAATCCAGGAAAGTGAGTTAAGTAAAACAATTAAACATAGTTAAGTGTCATGCAAACCCAGCCAACAACACACATAATTTCTGGCTGTTGGCTGTGCTAGCCAGGATGGTAAGAACTGCAGTTAGAAACTTAGAGGAGGCACAATACTTTTCTACCCTGATTTCCGTTGACCCACAACTCCTAACATACTACAATATAGCAAATTGCTTCCTACCTAATCAAATATAGTAGTTTCTATTAACTAAATTCTGACACTGCAAAGACATTGGCAGGTTATACCATTTATTCTTTATTAACATTATGAATAATTTTTATTAAAATAGGATTTTACAAAGATTTTAAAAGAAAACATAGAAGAGGAAAAGAAATTATAAAAGGGTAAAATAAAAGGTAAAGAATAACAAAAAAGCAAGAAAAGGATATCTAAAGAAGCAACTTCTGATCTTGCAGCAGTTACAAACATAGCAATTACCATCTCCACCCTCCCCTATTGCATATTATAGTTCCCTTCTTCCCATAAACAAACCTTTTTAATCAGTAAATCCTGAAATCAGCAGTTCATTTTTATCGATTTTCAGCAAAAAGTCTATAAACAGTTTCCAGTCTTTTATAAAAGTAGTTGTGGTTCCCTCCTTAATCAAACAAGTCAATTTAGCCATTTCTGCAAATGTTCATCTTCACAATCCATTCCTCCATTATTGGGGTTTCTGTAGTCTTCCATCTTTGTGCACTAATAGCCTCGCTGCAGTTGCTATATATTAAACCAATCATCCATGAGCCTTTTCTAATTGTCCATAAATCCTAATAAGAAAAATTCCAGTTTCATCTGAATGTTAATGTTTAAAACTCTCTGCATCACCATATGTATTTGTGTCCAGTATTTTTTCATTTTTTTCACATGTCCACCATGCATGATAAAATGTCCTTTCATGTTTTTCACATTTCCACCAGTGATTAGAAGTACCTTTATACATACAATTTCTCTGGTATCATATACCAACGGTACGTCATTTTAAAAAAGTTTTCTTTTAAATTGTAAGACAATGTGAATTTCAGACCTTTTAACCACATTTTCTCCCATTGATCCATATGAATATTATAAGCAAAATTCTTGGCCCATTTTATCATATATTCTTTAACTTGCTCTTCCTCCATTTCAAATCTCAACAAAAGTTTATACATTTTAGCACTCACATGTTCATCATTTGTACATAATTCATTTTCAAATTCTGTTTTATCACATTCTATTCTTGGTACTTTTTTTAATCTATATTAAATCTTTCTCTTAACTGTGCATAGGAGAACCACTCAAAACTAAATCCCTCTGCAGTCAATTGTTCTCTTAACTTCTTAAGCTCCCCATTTTCTTGTACTAGCAAGTCTTTATATGTTAACCATTTGTCTTTGCCTGCTGTTTCTTTTTTATAAAACACTTCTTGAGTTGAGGCCAACAAAGGTATTTTCAGGCATAGCCTGAGTTTGAATCTATTCCATATTTGTAGTATGGCATTCCTAATATAATTTTTTTTTAAATCTACATTTACTTTAACTTTATCGTACCATAAGTAACCATGCCACCCAAACCTCAGACCATGATCTTCTAAATCTAAAAGTCTGTTATTTCTTAACAACAGCCATTCCTGCATCCAAACCAATCAGCAGGTAGCAAAACACAATTTAAAATCAGGTAATCCCAGTCTTCCTCTTTCCTTTGCATCTTGGAGAATCTTATATTGAACACTTTTTTTTTCCCCCGCCACATAAATCTGGATATGTCTTTTTACCACTGTTTAAATGGTGTATCGGTTCTCAAAACAGGTATTGTCTGAAATAAGAACAACATTCTAGGTAATACATTCATTTTTACCATAGAAATTCTTCCCAATAATGACAATTGTAATTTTTCCCATCTTCATAAAACCTTCTTAATTTCATTCTGTACTTTAACATAGTTGTTTTGAAATAGCATACAATTCATGTTAGTTATGGAATACCCAAATATTTCACTTTTTGCTCAATCTGAAAACCAGTGTTCACAGAAAATTCTTTTTGGTCTTCCATCTCCAT